GACTCCCAAAAGAGACATAGTCTCCATGAATGCTTCTTCCTGCAAAAGTCAGCGCTTTTCCTCTTGTTAGGATGGTTCTGGAACCCCACCTTATATGTTTAGCATTCCAGTCCCCGCCAGCTATGAATCTGTTCCCCAGAGTTTTTAGGAATTCTGAAAAATCATTATGTTTAATCTAAGGTCCAGGAGGACAATAAATGGAAGCAATTGCCGTATCCCCTACTTCTGCTTTCCTAGTAATTGCTATCGATTGAATCGCTACAGATTTAGTTACATTGCATATAAAATATTGAAATTCTTTTCTGACCATAATAGCGACTCCCCCGCGTGCATTATAAGAAGGGTGATTAACTCAGTGGACATTAAATTCACGCTTCTTAAAGTGACTAGTGTCGGAAAAGCGAGTCTCTGACAACAAAACCACGTCAATTTGATGAAAATCTATGTAATTTCATAATTTTAGTTTCCTCTCTGCCGACAGTCCGTTAGCGTTCCTTGCTACAATTCTAATCTTATCAAATTTAATTTTCACAACAGAATTAAAATTAGATTCAACGTAAGTGGGGATTTTATCCCTGTCAAAGTGACTCCCAGGAATTTTTTTAAAACTATTCGAAGGAGGTCTTGGCCTTCTTCAATGAGGCACCCTATGTTCCATCGTTGCCAAGAAGTATTCCCTCCAGAGCATTAAGCCTAGAAAGAATTTGGGCATTTCAGAAATTAAGTATTTTCTCCATCAGACTCTCGGGATTTTCTTTAGCGTTGGATTTACTACCACTAGCCATTCTACCAAAAGATACATTTTTGCTGACTGGTCTCTGACTTAATTTATTTCCTGAATTATCTTTACCACTATTTTTTTTGTTTTTTCTTGTTTAAATCTCCCAGCCTACGTTCTTTGAAAAACTTAGCGATCTCGCACCCGGAATAATTTGCTGTGTGGTTTTGACCACAATTCACCTATTTTGGACCATCCACTTTCTTTTCAGAGCATTAGAAACTCAAGTGAGGTCCACAACATCTAACACACTTAGGATCTTTATGACAAAATGCTTGAATATGCAAAAATCCCTGGCAACGCTGGCACTGAGGAATCCTTGCCGGATTGTGCTTAACATTTTTGATTTCTGCTTTCTGATATGCCATAAATTTTATTTCAAAGATTTTTTTAGTATCATCTTTGTTATCGAATATGATTTGATGTAATGGAAGACGTTTCCTCTTCCCATTTTCGTCTTTTTTGCTTAGAAATTCAACAATTTTAATAATATTAAAACCTTTGGATGTAAGATTCTCTGTAATTTCATCTAGATAAGTGGTAGAATGCATCCCTTTAGCTACAAAAATCTTTGGACGAAGATATTTGTCTGAAAATATGTACCATTTAGCACTATGTTTTTCAAGATCTTCTCTAACTAATCTATAAGTTTTGTGGTATGCAGTAATAATTTTCGAGACGTTGCCGATTAATGCTGTTAATTTACACTTTTTCAGTATTTTTTGTACCTTTGTTTTTATCTTTATCATTGAACGAACCATTGGTGTTTTTACTAGATATGGCGACTTTCTCGGCCCCTCCTCTATTTCCGGACCGCGCTAGTATCCGCTTTCCTTCCTTTCTTAGCCTGAGTTTTTTGTGGGGATGAGTTACTTCCTTCGTTCCTCTTCCTCTTCTGCTTGCAGAGTATCCAGTCAGTTTCTTCTTCCACAATTCGATTTTCTGGGTCTTCATCATCCATTGGATCATCCTCGTTGTTTTCTCCATCATTGCTGAGAACTGCGTACCTCCCTGAGTAGGTTGCTTGAGGTTGAGGGATTTCCCTCCGAGCAGTTTCAGAATGTCTTTGCTCCTTTTTTTCAGGCGCGAGCAATCTGTTTTGAAGGTCATCTATTATTTTTTATTGTTTTCCTTTATGTTATTCTTCTTTTTTAACGATGTTAATAAGTCCTTCGATCGTGTCTTTAAGGCCTCGAACCTGATTTATGGCTTTCGTATCATTGTGAGTGATGGAAATACCCTCTTTAATCACCACCTTGGCCTTCTCCAAAATTTCCTTGACTGAAATTTCAGGATAATTCTGATTTGATGTTTCAATTGATACTGGTGTGGCTATATCATCTGTTTTACTTTTGGCATTCGTCCTCGCGGGTGTCCTCTGGGGCGATCTTGAAAGGAGCGAACTGCTCTCAAACGGATTTTTATCCGTCATATTTTTCACTTCTACTATGGGCGCAATCTCAGAAAGTCCAGTTTTCCTCTGATGTAGCATTTCTGACAGCCGATTAACTGATCGTCTCTCCAAAAATAATACACACCATGTTTACACTTGTGTGGCGACAGTGACATAGAAGTTTCGGCCGTAACCGGACTTTGTTTACGTTATCTCGCGGTCGCTGCGCGCCGCGATGCCCGGGCCGCGAGCCGAACCAAAAGATTTACCGTCTCACGAGCGCACTACAAAACGCGTCCGCACAGTTCGAAAAATCAACACCGAATCCTCGTCGCAATCTCTCAGGAATATTTGTGGCAATATTTTTAGAAAAAATGCCCAATATTATTTAACCCCTGAAAATAATGACTCATATTGGCCAATCATCAGCCCATGTTAGGCCTAATATGGTGAAGTTAGCTGGGGCACTTTTGGACCATTATTAACTTAATAAATAGTATGTTGCAGTAGCAAATGGCGTATGGTAATTTGACACTCTCAGTTTGCTGATAATGTGGTTGGATATAAAAAATGTTAATATCACATTCTCTCAAAAAGCTGAAACAGCAGACTAGTCCTGCCAATATTATTTTACAAGCTGCGCCGGCAAAGCAGCCCACAATGTTCAGTTTACTTTCCAAGGGATGCTCATGATGCTTGCTTCGGGTATGCTTTGCTTGCCCATGGTATCCGTCATAATAATTGTAAGCACTAAAGCTTACAAGTCGACATGGTGACATGATTTTGCGGGGTTAACAATTGAGGTTTTGTAATAATGGAAGGCTGCATGTGCTGGAGTTTTGGCTCTGAGTTTTGGTTACACGTTTGGAGCACTTATTTTAGAGAAAATAGCACCGTTTAGGTGAAGCTCGTGGAATTAATACCGCCGCACTTGGTGTTCTTAAGTATCCCATCTAAGTATTAATATGCGCTGCATTGCTTAACTTCAGAGATCGGTGCGCAAATAATGGACTTGTGGTTCCAAAAACTCTATTGGATCGGTAAAAACTTGAAGCATATATACTTTAGGGTACAGAAATCCATTTACAAAAGCTCCAGAACATTAGCTCTTCCTCCAGAACTTCCCTCTATTACACAAAAAAAAAATTTCGCACATTTTTAAAGGTGATTTTTTGGAAATACTTAGAAAGACGGCCGGAACGTCAGTAAGTACAAGAAACTCATAATAAGTCTTCTAACTAAAGTGCTTTAGCGCTATACGTAAACGGCCCCCTCAAGGGACCAGGAAGGGGGATGGGAGCCCAGGTGGGGAGGAACTATCGCATTTTTCGACCTTATTGACCGATTGAAAAGTGGGGATCAGTGCGCTCGCTTCGCTCACAATTTTTTAAAAACTGTAAGTAAATATTTTAAAATAGTTGTAAACATGTAAATGTATCATATTACATGCTTTGAAAATGCGATGAATGGCCTGATTCTTTGTTTCAACTGAGGATTAAGTTTCTTGTTTCTCTCTTATCATCTTGTTAGATTATTGTTAGGTACTGTTTTTTTTAAGAAATCATTGTTATTATTATATTGTCTTGAATCCTGTCATGGCGCTGTATTGTAATTTGGAAATCTCTTACTTTTTACCTAACGGTGATAGAGATTTGAAATTTAAAGGACGTCCCTAGGTCAAAAGGAGCTACTTTTTTACCTTTTAAACTTTTTTTTTCAAATGGAAAGACCCCCTTTGTGGGTTTCCGTTCGAAAAAGCATTAAAAAAGGACGTTTTTAACGCGAATCCGAAGTCATTTTCTTCAACCGTTTCACAACGGCGGACGGGTAAAGTTCAAAATGACTAAGAATTGGCATTTTGGCAATGTGCACATGGACTTGCTTGAAATCCGGTAGCTAGGTTTATTTCCGCACGAGAAAAACGAATTTGATGTTGGATTTTTGCTTAAAAAACCCATTTTTTTCAAAACGGTTAAGGTTCAAAATAGCCGAAAATTGGCAACTTCGATTTTTTGCCAATGGATTCGCTTGAAACTTGGCATGTAGGGGTATTACCCCACGAGAAAAACGAATTTAACCTTAGGTTTTTAAACAAACCCGGATTTTTCTGAACTTTTGAGCCAGTTAGAACTTTAACCGGTGGCCATTCTAAAAAATTGGGGTTCGTTTAAAAATCTAACGTCAAAGTCGTTTTTCTCGTGCGAAATTAAACACAGATACCGAATTTCAGGCAAATCCATATGCAAATAGCCGTGGTGCCTATTTTCGGCCATTTTGAAAATTTACCGGCTGCCATTATTGAATAATTTAAGAAAATGACTTCAGGTTTGCGTGAAAAATTTCCTTTCTTAATGTACTCTAGAACGAGGTACCAGAGAGTGGGTCTTCCCACTTGAAAAGAAGTTGGGGTCCCCCCCCCCTGAACATATTAGTGGGTTCAAAAAGTAGCTCTCTTTGACCCAGGAACGTCCTCTAAGTTTCAAATGTCTATCTCAATTAGGTAAAAGTTAGAGGGGTTGGGGGACTTTTCTAAAACCCTGCAGAGGTAAGTAGGTTTTCGACCACCAAAAAAGACTCTTTAATATAACGTTCCGGCGGCAGTACAGCTCAGCCATTGAGTAAAACCATATAATTCAATTGAATCTGTTGATCGTCAAAACCGTAAACGATTCTATCGATTCTTTAATTTCAGCAACCTGGGAGCGTCTCCATATCGAAATCAGCTGATTGGAGGTAAAGGGCTGTAGCACTTTAGTTTGATGGCCACATAGTTTCATCTTTTCTGTGGCTGTCTTTCATAAATTTAGCCGATTGTTTTCTGTATTCCAGGACCGTCCTTCTCCTCTAATCATGAGAGACTTACTAACTTGTGCAATTGATGTAGCGAAAGGTTGTAAATATTTAGAAGAAAATAGGTTTATCCACCGAGATATTGCTGCTAGGAATTGTTTGCTCACAACAAAAGGTCCTGGACGCACTGTCAAAATCGCTGATTTTGGCATGGCACGTGATATATACAGGTGAGAGCATTGTTTTGGTTTGATATTCTGGTAAGTTCCATTTTAGTAACACATTTTTTTAACAAATCTAATTCCAGTAGTTCCTCCCAAGTAGCATTTTGCAACGAAAAAATTGCAATTTAAATGAAATAAAATTTCCAGATGATTTCAACTTTCTTGCAAGAAAATTGCAATTATTTTACAACATCTGACCCCCTCATTGTAAAAAAGTTGCAATTTTTTTTTTTGCAAAGAAATTTCAATATTGACGACCTTTAAATTTCAACCCCTAAATTTTCCGGGGAAATTATAATAATTCGAACCCATGCTTACCTAATGTCCTACGACGTTTAGCAGCATAAAATACCGGACGCCCTTGAGTGGGCTTGAACCCGACCCGCGAATGTCATAGCGGAGCACTCTTCCACTGAGCTACAGGGAGCTGATGATGAGCTTGGTTGAAATCACGCCTGTTAAGGCTGTTATCGCATGCATTGCGTCAGTGCGTGGCTCAACATTCATCATAGATTTGATTAACGCCGTTTTTCTCAGGCTTCTTTCTTTTGCCTATTATTTATTTTTTTTCGTGTTATTTATTTTTTTCATATTTTTTTTGTCTGATTTTTTTTTTCGATATCACGTAATAGGTACTCACACTAAATTTACACCGGTGTAAATTACACCACATACTAACTTGAGAACTTAAAAATATTTTCAAAAAATATTTTTAAAATATTTTCAAAACTTTCTTAAGGAATATTTTTAACATGCATGTTTACAGGCAATATTTTTGAATTATTTTAAAAATATTTTTTGTAAACATTTTCAAAATATTCCTTTAAAATGTTTTAAAAATATTTTGAAAATATTTTAATTACAATATTGCCATGAAAATATTTTGATAAAGGTGACAATATTTTCAAAATATGTTGGGCTATATGGGTTAGGTGAGACATTTAAGTCGAAAAAACTTTAAAACAACTAGAGAATTGGATGCCAGGCACATGGCGTGAATTTGTTACAACATGATTGCACCGAAATTGCAGTCTTTATAGTGCCTTGAAAAAGAAGGTTAGGCAACAAGCATAATCTACATTTCTTGCAAACTTATTGCAATAAAATTGCAACTTTTTAAGCGCCTTCAAATGAACGTATAGGCAACAAGCAAAAATTGCAATCAACTCACAATCCATTGCAATGAAATTGCAATCCATGCTACTTGGGCTTGTGATAAGGAAGTAAGTGTATTTTCCACAAAGCACAGGAGAAGAGAGTATGCCTAAAAGTAAATTTCCTTATCTTATACCTCAAGAACTGTAGTGAATAGGGTAAATTCGTACATTTTTAAGTGTTATTAACCAAATTAATGTTCCTTCCATTTCTATCTCCATGAAGGTAGAAAGATTACTAGGAGCGGTAGCGACCCCGTCAAGCCTAAAGAGATCTCCAACAACGAAAATGGGAGCCACTACTGTATCTTACACAAACCCGTTCAACTTTTGCGTTATTTTGAGATATCTCCGCAAAAACTTTACCAATATACCTACCACGGTATGTTGCATCGACTCTAAAAATGTGTACTTTAAGTATGAATGAGTGAACTCATTTTGTTGTATTATTTTGTTTTTTAGGGCCGATTATTACAGGAAAGGCGGAAAAGCTATGTTACCAATCAAATGGATGCCCCCTGAAGCTTTCTTAGATGGCATTTTCACCTCGAAGACTGACGTTTGGTATGACTTCTTTGCTAAAGCTTTCCTTAAATCTATTTCTATCGATGACAGTTTTTTTAACCCTAAGATGACACTTAGACCCCGTTTTTACCTACACGAATGTCTAACCCGGGCCTGCGAGGCCCGTATTGAAAATATACGGTTATTTGATAGCTGCGATGTTTTTTTCTCTGTTTTTTGAAGAATTTTATGATTTTCATACTTCCTCTTCCATACCCAAGGTCCAAAATCCCCTATTCACCCTTAAACTGTCCCTCCTCTCCCCAGTCCCCTCAGATCTAGGAGCCTCTCATATAAACACATGTTTATATCTTTTTTGAGAATTTGAGGAAGGTACAGTGCAGAAACATTGTTACCCCTAAAAATATACTTGAATTTGAGAGGGAGGAAGCAACCTCACCCACCACTATCCCCCTCCCTTCCGGTAGCCGGTAGCCAATAAAATAAGTACCTACTTTCCGATTTGTTCCTTTCAAAGTTTTGCACTTAGAAGATTTATTTTTTTAATTTCGTGAAAAGAAAATAGAAGTCTAAAATTTATGGTTGTTATTTAATGGATACTTCTACATTATTTCAAATTTTTCGACAAGTAGGGGCAAATTTTGGATATTACAGTGAATTATAAGATAAACGTGGGACAATTCACCGTATCACAAGAAACACCTAAAATTAACTCGTAAAAACTCTTAGATCGTCAAAATGTAAAAGTAGATAAAGAATAATGATTGCAGTAGTATAGGAGGACGTACAAAACACGGACAAACGACGGACAATATACAAAAGTAGGGAAAATTGTAGGAAAAACAGAACATAAAATAAATTAATGAAGGTCAAGAAAATCAGACTTATTATTTACTTATTATTCTTATAATTTTAGGTGCTTCTTGCGATACAGTGAATATGTTTAGGCGTTACCGTTTAATTGTAAGAAAATAGCGCATGGTGCTTTGACAGTACTTAGACAGTATATTACCTCCATGACTACTTTTCAGCAACAACAATTACAGCAAAACCTCAGGAAAACCATTGGAAACTTCACGAGGAAGAGGTATATGCATCCCCCTCAAGAATTGGGCCCGGAACGGAATCTTGTCATACCTTCACCTTTTGCAAAGGAAGGTTAGAGATGTTCAAAAATGGTGGACTTTTTGATCCGGGCCCCCGGCGGAGGTGGCGGGGGGTCAAAGAAAATTCAACTTTTAGCCATAACTTTTGAACGGTTCCAGTAAACAAGTTGAACTTTTTTTATAAATGAAAGAACAAAAAATGACCTTTCTGTCGAGTATAAGAAATTGACAATCGGTTAATTATTGACAAAGTTATGGCTCATCACATTTTTTGAAAAATTTTAATTTTGGATTTTTCCATTTTTTGACGGGAGGGGTCGCACAAAATTCTATGAATATAAGCACCTTGTTCCGCGTTGATCTCCGTAATTTTTTAATATTTTACAGCATTTTGACGATTTAGTAAGCATACACATAGGATGAATATGCCATACGTTGTTATATGTTGTTGTAATATGTTTTGTTTTTCCTAAAATTTTTCCTACTTTTGTATATTGTCCGTCTTTTTCCGTGTTTTGTGCGTCCCCCTACTACTGCGATCATTATTCTTTATCTAATTTTACTTTTTGACGATCTAAGAGTTTTTACGAGTTATAATTTTAGGTATTTCTTGTGATACGGTGAATTGTCCCGCGTTTATCTTATAATTCACTGTAATATCCAAAATTTGCCTCAACTTGTCGAATTTGAAATAATGTAGGAGTATCCATTAAATAACAACCAAAAATTTTACGAAATTGAAAAAATAAATCTTCTAAGTGCAAAACTTTGAAAGGAACAAATCGGAAAGTAGGTACTTATTTTATTGGCTACCGGCTACCGGAAGAGAGGGGGATAGTGGTGGGTAAGGTTGCCTCCTCCCTTTCAAAATCAAGTATATTTATAGAGGTAACAATGTTTCTGCAATGTAATTTCCTCAAATTCTCAAAAAAGATATTAACATGTGTTTATATGAGAGGCTCCTAGATCTGAGGGGACTGGGGAGAGGAGGGGCAGCTTTAGAGGGGGAGGGGGAGCTTTAGAGGGAGAGGGGGGCAGTTTATGGGTGAATAGGGGATTTGGGATCTTGGTCATAGAAGACGAAGTATGGCAATCATTAAATTCTTCAAAAAACAGAGAAAAAAGCATCGCAGCTATCAAATAACCATATATTCTCAATACGGGCCTTGTAGGCTCGGATTAGTCATTCTAGGGGTGGACATGAAAAAATTGCTGAGCCTAAAAAAAAAATTTCTTTTCAAGAAATATGTTTTTGAGGGTTTTTGTAGAGCTTTTTGTGAGGGGCATACTTCTCGGAAAATTACAGCTGCCGTGGCGCGAAAAATAAGGAGCCACCGGGCCTCGTAGACCCGGTTTGTCATCTAAGGTTTAAAGGAAGCTTTAGGACTATACTAAATTCAAAGACCTCTTTTTAAGAAGAAAAAATAAGAGTTTACGATCCTTTCACATCTCCCCTTTAGCCTGGATCTCATTTTAAGCTTTTTCACAATTCTGGGCTTTCTCTTTCTTTTTAAAGTACTTTCTTTCAGCTTTGAGACATAAACGAAAGTGTTCCTCCCATATGACCACTACTGTTTTGCTAAAATCCTCGGAAGTGAGAGTTTCAAATAAAGCTTCAACTGAAGCCTTTTCTTATCAACTTAACTGAGTTTTCTGCATTGTAAAGATATTCCAAATCTGGAAAAAGCTAAAAATTACGAGGCATGAGATCCAGGCTGTGTTGAAAAAAGAGAAAATAGGAAGGGCTGAAAGAAAGATATGAGCTGGGATGAATGCTAGAATGCACGAAGACCCGCATTTATTGGTGTGGTGGACTAGAGGGCCACCCTCTTTATAAAGTGAGAGGCAACAGTGCTGCCCCATGTGCTTTGTATTATTTAACACGCTTCCAAGAGAATTAAAAAATGTACTGATAATGAGGAGCGCTTGTCAAAATTATAGAGAAACTATTAAAAAGAAAATTTTAATATGAAAAGATCACAATTCTAGACGTTTTGGCGGAATCACTCTCCGGCTTTTTGTAGTGATGACTGTCTCTGGTGGCCCTTTTGATTTACACACAGACGATAGTGATTGGAATAACATTTCAGTGGATGAACTTGAATATGATGTAGACTTATATGAAGAGGAGCTGGCCGAAGCTTCTCTTTCTTTGTTCGGCGTGTGATGACTGACTCCAGGGGTTGAACTTGATACTTCATCAATCGGCGTTGACTGAGAATTTTCAATAATTAACGTAGAATGCAAGGTTCCTTCGACTGGTGAAACTTGCACGTTATCGGTGACTGAGGTGGACTGGACATTTTCGGTGACTTCTGAAGACTGTAAACTTTCAGGTGCTGGAACCTGACGCATAAACAGGGGCTCCAAACCAAACAGTACAAGCATAATATACATTTAATTGTATGTATAATTTAATTTTATTGTATATTGTGTTACATTAATGTGTATTAATGTTTATGCTAACAAAAAAGTCCAATGTCTTCAGTATAAAGTCAGGTACCTGCAAAAAATAGTATGTTTCATTTTTTAAATTTCTTAATGGTCAAAATTTTGATTTTGTAAAAAATGGGAAAGTGCTCAGTTACCCCCGTGGGGTGGGTTAACTGGGCACTGGGGGTGGGTTGACTGGACACTAAGACGAAAAAGCATACTTTTGAAAGAGGAAACTTTTATTAAGTCAAATGAACAAGTGGAAAAGTCTTGAAAATTAGAGAAATACATCTGAGGATGATGTTTTGTTTGTCTTAATACTTATATTAAATAAATTTTTACTAAGAGACAAGAGACACGGAAAACTTATTTCAATGACTTCTGAATAGGCCCCATGGTTGGTTATCCTTTTGCTCCTTTTAGTTGTTAAAATACTGCAATTAAAAAAAAAATGTTTAAGAGAATGTTTTGGCTTACTTGTTATCTATGGGGTTAACTGGGAATGCCCTCTTTAATCCCATTTGGTAGTGTTCAGTTAACCCCATTTCGGAATTTCAGAGAAAAAAATCATAAATAGTACTCAATTGGAATAATTACCAAAGTAATCACTGGAAACAGTACATAAAACTATAGATGAAACAATAAAGCACTCACCAAAACCTTCCTCAAAAGCCAGATATGTCATTTGGGCTTCAGTTCACAGCACCGGGAATTTACTTTTCGCCCCACGAAACACGTTTGTAAACATGATCTAAAAAAAAAACAAAGATTATCAACTCGGCGCAAGGTATTCTAGTATAATCTGATGAAATTGACGCGTAGTTGGTTCTGAGTATGCCCACTAGGTGGCAGCTAGGTCGAGTGTTCAGTTAATCCGCCTTGCCCACTAAACCCCAAGCTACCCTAGAGCAACGAGTGTTTCGGAAATGCAAAAAAAGAGGTGACGGCACAGCGTGTACAAATAATGCTCCTGTTTCCGAGATGACTTCCGGTGCAGTTTTTTGTTAAAACAATTTAATACAGACGTAGGTTTTTCGTTTAGGTCTGTGGTGATGATTGGGGGGAGGGGATTGGGATTGGAGATGTCTTGGGAGTTAGAGCGCGAATTCAAAATCGAATAGTGAAAATCCTAAAATTCCAACTTCAAAAAGAGATTTTAAAAAATTTCCAGACTTGTACACAAATCGGTTTGCAAATCTACGTATCCTCACCTTTCAGAATCATTAGTTTTTATCCAATTTCTTCCGATTTCTGAAGTTACAAGCGGAAACTTGAGCGCGGATCGCTTAAAATCGAGCACTTCCACAGGCTGATCGACGGTTGAGGTTGAGTGGAACGTTCTGCGTCGCTGGCCGCCGCACCCCCGCTGCCCTGCTAAAAATGAGTGTAATGCTGGCATTACACTCGTGAGTGTATAGCTAGCATAATGTGATTTGCACACAGAATTGCATTACGCTAGCATTACATTAGTTATACATTCTCGAGTGTATAACTAGCATTATACTAGCTATTCACTCACGAGTATGTAGCTAGCATTATACTAGCTATACACTGACGAGTGAAATGCTAGCATAAACCAGCCAGTGTAACCAGCCAGCCAGCCAGCCAGTGTGCCAGTGTAAACTGGCATTATACTAATTCTACACTCAGAAATATTATCTTGACACTTCACTGATTATGTGCGCGTTCCCTAGTAGCAGAACCCTAGAAGGAAAAGATAAAGATTATGTACGGAAGTTAATTTTTTTTATATATAAAAAAATTATACTTTCGTATGCATGCGTTATAACGCATGCATACGAAAGTGTTTAAAGTGAGCAATATTATGTAATCATCATTATATAAAGAAAAGTCATAATTTTGTGAGCTTTCCGCAAACGTGCTAAAAAATCTTCTTATTCGCGAAACCTTAGTAGCAGAACCACAGAAGGAAAAGATAAATATTATGTACGAAAGTTAATTTTTTTAATATAATGTATGCATGCAAAAGTGTTAAAAGTGAACATTTTTATGTAACCATTATATAAAAAAATGTTATAATTTTCGTGAGCTTTTCGCGAACATACTAAAAATTCCTCTGATTCGCGAAAAGCTCACGAAAATGATGACCTATTTTTTTATATAATCGTCACATAAAAATGTTCACTTTTAACACTTTCGTATGTATGCGTTATATACAAAAATAAAAAATGTGTGTAAAAAAAACATCACCTTATCTAGCTCTTATCATTTTTCATATATTACGGTCAGGTCTGAACTTGGATTTTTTTTAAAATAAACGTTACACGTTTTTTTATATAAAACGATCATTTAGATAACAGATACGTTTTTTATACTTTTTTTAGAAAAACAAAAATTTGTTCTGCTACTAGGGAACACCAACTTTGTACGAGGTCTGTTAGATTAGAAACCGGATTTTTGTCATAACTAGCCTACAATGCGTCCAAATTACGTTTTCTTGAGCTTTTCTGATAGCTGAAAATATATTTAAGAACGCTACGTTCACAAATTTGAAAAATCGTAATTAGCTTCGTTGGTATGTGGCTTGAAGTAAGGCAACCTCAAGGGTGTTTTGCGATTTTTATGTTTGACCGAACTTGTCTCTCTTTTTTCGGTCTTGCACAACATTTTTCAACCCACAAGGACGATTGGAGTTTCGTCTCCATATCGTAGCCGTACACTAAAGTATTGTCACCGAAAATTATCCTATCCAAAAATGTAGGATCATTGTTAGAACGTTCAAGCAGCTAAAGGTAATTTGACATTTGGTTGGATTTTCGTTCAAAGGACGACAATCAAGGGGCAAGTGTACCTGAAACTCGATGCGTGTCTACATATTCTATCAAAATTGTATGTACAGAGCCTTCAGAAATATGACTTTGTTCAACAAGCTCGAAACGACCATTTTCGAGCACTTTTGCCCGCATTTCTTCCACGTGACAAATGTCAGTCGCCGTTGAGGGTCGATTATTCCCACGCTCCTCATCTTTAACGAACTCCTGACCAGTTTTGAATCGTTTAACCCATTCAAAACAGTGGGAACATCTCATACAATGATCATGGTAAACTTTTCTTAGCATATACCAAAAGTTTCGGTACAAGGTATACCGAGCTGAAAACAAAATTTAGTGTTGAATCTTTGCTCTGTCAGTGATCGCATGCTAATGTGGCGGCCAAAAAAAAAGAAAAGAAAGAAGAAAAAAAGATAATATCCCCCTCTGGAGGACAGAGAGATCTAGGGGAGAAAAAGGGGGTAGTGAAGAGAAAGATGAAGAACGAACGCTGACTGGCCAGACCAGTCAAGATACGGCCAGACCGTACCTCTTGCGTTTGTTCGGAAAATAATGGAAACTACCTTAGGGCTGACTGGCCAGACCAGTCAAGATACGGCCAGACCAGTCAAGATACGGCCAGACCGTACCTCTTGCCCTAAGGAAAAGGTGGATAGTCGTGAAGGAGAAACTTTTGAAAGGGGGATGATTGGCCAGACCAATCAAGACAACAGCCAGACTGCGCCTCTTTCTCCTTTCAAAGAGAGAAAGAATGGAAAAATCCCTTGGGGCTGACTGGCCAGACCAGTCAAGACACGGCCAGACCGTGCCTCTTGCCCTGAGGAAAAGGTGAATAGATAAGAGCAGTAAAGGTAAGGGACTAAAAGCTGACTAGCCAGACCAATCAAGACAACGGCCAGACCGTGCCTCTTGCTCTTAGTCAAAAGAGAGGGAAAGAGAGAAAAAAAGAACTATGGGAAGAGTCAGAATGAACAAAGTGAAAGAGACTTGATGTGTGTAAACTAAATAAATATTGTATTCAAAAGATACAGGGGGAGCTAGATAAAACTTGACAACGGAGAACAAAAAAAGAAGAGAAGACTAGCAAGTCGAGAATAAAAAAAGATAGGAAAAATAACGACCAATAAAGGAGGGGTAAAACTAACCGTTGAAGGCGATAGTGAAACCAAGAAAAATCTACTAAGTCCTACGCAGACAAAATCAACCAACGTATCCGACGTAACCGACCAAATCCTACAAAACCAGCTCCGACTCTCACGGACGCTCCTTTCAATCTTACTCGTCAAATCCTACAAAGAAAATCTATCCCGAGGTCGAGCTCCGTGCGCCACGGAAGCTCTCGTCCACCTAGATCTGCAGTCGCGACCGGGGGTCCTCGTCGCCTCCGGAGCGCCGCGGGCCAGCAGTGGGGGATGCTGAATCAGCGTACTGTCCCTGCCGCCGGGAAAACAAGTGTTTCTAGCTGTAAAAAAGGACAGATGCAATGTTATCTCTCGCTCTGGCCCAAGACGCTACGGAAACTCCCGAGCTGACTTCCCTGGTCATCACATGCCCTTCCTTTGATCGAGATTCGTCCCCAAATCTTTAGGTCTTAAGCTTTAAGAACTGAGTTAGGTTTCTCCTCTTTTAGTCGTTATTTGTACATTAGAATGTTATTACTAAATCTGTTACAGCTAAACACTGTTACAAAAAGATTTATAAGAATACTTGAGACTGAAATTGTCAATTGTCAAGAAAAATATGACACTAGAGTTAGCTAATTTCAACACCAAAAAATAAAAAAAAAACTAAAAATGAAATTAAAAAGAAGGAAATCAATTAAGACTCAAATTACAAAAAGGATTGCATAAGGACATAACATAAAGATTTTTCGAAAATGTTTGCAAAAGGCACTGTTGTCAATTGTCAAGAAAAATATGACACTAGAGTTAGCTAATTTCAACACCAAAAAATAAAAAAAAAAAACTGAAAATGACATTAAAAAGAAGGAAATCAATTAAGACTCAAATTACAAAAAGGATTACATAAGGACATTACATAAAGATTTTTCGAAAATGTTTGCAAAAGGCACTGTTGTCGTGCTAACGAGTTACTAGCTTACGGTCACGAGTGTGATTACAGGTTGAAGAACAGGTTAGATTACAGGTTACAGGTAAATGAAGATGGTAAAATGTCAAACAATGCATGTTCAGGTGTATTAATTAAAAGACTATTATTGGCAAGACTATTACTTACATTTCTATTTATGACTACTACTTCTATTATTATTCTGAAAAAACTGTACAACAACAAACTGTACAGGAAAATAAGCAAAATTTCACATTTTGATTTGATCACATCCGAGAAGTATTATCTTCCCTAGGAGTGTCTTAACTTAACTTTACTTTAAGTAAACTTTACTTAAAGTAAAGTTAAGTAAGTAAGTTTTCTGCAAATAACTAATAAGTCAATAAGCTTTAAATAACTTAAAATTTTACTACATGGGATGCAGACTTTTTCAAAAGTGGCACTTAGAAGCGGCTTAACACGCGGCTTTTTGACTTTTGAGCGATGAAAAGAAAAAAAGGGAAACACTGCAAAATTTTTAACATACCTGAGACTTCTGAGCAATGAAATGGGAAAAAAAAGGAGAAAACACTGAAAGAGGGAAAAAAATAAAAAATTTTTAACGTACTTGAGTGGTATATCGTTCATCTTCATACTTCGCATGCCTTTAAACGCGTGGTAAGTTTTTTGTCGAAGAGGAGGGTAAAGAGGGGGCGTCCACCAATCTATGTTTTTATGGACCCATAGATAGGTCTGTTCGGATCAGTAGTGGCCATGTGAAGCCGAAATCGGGGCGCCAATAGGAGATTTCCCAGCATGGTCCCCGAATTTGATGCTGCTCCAGCAATGGTGTCTAAAGCTCTATGCCGTCTATGCGATCTTTGCACTTTTCGGGTTCTCCGGGCCCAGCTGAGTGCGGAGATTGCAAATACGTCGTTGAGTTAGATGAAATTAGAACGAGATGTGATGGAATCTCAAACTGTGAGGGTGACTTTACCTTGGTGGAGAGGTACTTAATGTACTTGGGGGGGGGGAGAAACGGGGATGAAAATTGAATTGTTGAAATTGGAATTATTCATGATTTTGAAAAGTACTTTGAATACTGACTTTGGTCTTCAGAGTTTCCACGCGTTTTGTATATGACGTAGTGAGCGTAAAGATGAATAATTTGCTAGAAATTTCTAGGATAAATCTTTTAAATTCAGTGGTCTCAGGGTGACAAGAATGAGAAAGAGTTTGTAAAGAAGGATTCAAAAGAGTGCCAGAATAAAGAACATTTTAGGTAGGAGAAAGGTGGGGGTGAGGGGGGCTGTTTCCCCTCATTGAACCTAATTCAGAAATAATTGAACATTGAGGATTTTCAATGGATAAGTTAACAAGAATCGACTGAAAAACTCTCATAACCAAAAACTTATGATTAACTTAACCTAAACTTATAATTATGCTTTTAGATTTTCATTCGCAAAGGACCCCTACATTTTTTAATAATTTCATAAATAATTACCAAGCAAAGCAAAATATAAAAAAATAAAAAAAATGAAAACATGTTGAAAGGAAACAACATAAATTTGAAAATAAAATAAAATTCATAGTAATTAATTTTAAGAGTTGTAATAAAGATAGGAAAATAAATAAAAATCAAGTTTATTATCTTATTTTAAGGACTCTGTGGGTCAATAGTTTTTCCCGGATCGCGGATTTCCGTGGAATTATGGCATTTGAACTCTTTTGCTCACTGATCCTGGTACAATCCAGAATCTAGGGTTTTCAACTCCCACCCGTTTCGCACTACCACCCCCAGAAGGGGTGGGTTTCGGCCGTGGTGGTCGGCTAAAGAGTTAAACTATCGTATGATTTTATAAAAAAATATTCGTAAATATTAGAATAAGGAAGAGAGTAGTAATTTGGCTCATTAGACATCTGCATTTAAAGTAGGGCAAGAGAGTGGCTCAGGGCAAAGATAGTCTGATATCAGATAAGTACACATCAGGTTTTCCAAATTAGCGTGTTCTGGGGTTCGGTATTTAAATTTGTGCGTATTTAAGAAAAGTTCATTCAGTATGCGTAATCGATTAAATTCCAGATTGTCTCGAGGTTGGTACCCTTTTTTGAAAAGGAGGGGGTCCTGGGAGAGGAAATGAGACTTTGGGCGTAAATAAGTGTGACGGATAATTTTTGAATGTATTTCACACAAATCTCCGTGGCTAGCGATGAGTTTACGACGAAATGCGGGTGGTTTGACCATTTTTCTGCGTCTTATGCGATGAGCGGGACGTGTTAAAAAGTTCGATGAATTTCGATTGTCCTTAAGTTCTCGGATGTTTGGAGCCGTTACCGCTGCAGGGATGGGATTTTGGAAGTTCGAACTGGTGCGCTATTGTTTGATATAGGTTGGATTTTTGCAGTTTTTGACGTAATTGCTGTTCCTAGGACGTTACTTGCGGACGTCTGAGGTTGAGTCATGGGTACATAACGTGGAAAGTCGTTTTCGGCAATGAGCAAAGGTGGGTCGCAGGCTATTGACTCGTAAGATTGCGGTTTTGTAATAGGCACGCAAGGAAAGGTAGGTGTTTGCTCTGAGACATAATTATTGGGCATATTATCGGGCTTAATTCTATCAGCGGTGGGGCAAAATACGGAAGAAGGAAGAAATACATGAGGCGTAGAGGATAATGACGTCATTTCGTCGGTGTCACCGACTATGGGCTCGGTGGAATCTGAGCCCGAATCAAAATTGAGTGAAGTTGTGTCAGACGATTGTGAAGGATGCTCGCTGATTTTGCTGAGCGTTGCGGTATAAGTTCCTTCGTAGGAGACGGGTAGAATTTCACCAAGTGTTGGTGTGCACAATATTGGCCGAGAAATGCTGGCTTCGAGCGATGTTCCATACGGTGTGTCATTCTGAACACTGGGTTTTTTCAAAGATGGCAATTGAAATTCAAAGTTATTGGGAGGAATTGGTGTCAATGAGGTGGTGGTGACTTCCGTGAGGATTGTGTTTTTGGGGTGATCGCACGAACGTTCGAAGAAACCAACTGTTAACCCTTCACTCAATCGGACGGACTCAGTGCTGTGAAGGTTTTCGATGAAGACCTCAAACTGAAACTGTTGGCTGAACTGATAGTCGACGATCGAGAGAAATTGTACTGGAAATGTGTTTTCGAAGGGGCGAAATGTGTAGCAATTTTTTGTTTCGAGGGGGAGCAGTGGCAAATCTGAGTCATGTAGTTTGCATATATAAAAGTCCCCGGGGTCTAGTAATACGTCGCTCGTCAACTTGGCGGGGAAAATTTTGGGCTCTATTATTTTTTTCTCGTATTCAGGGTGCAGACGGAAATTTTTTTTAAATGTTTCTTTAAGGTCTTCCCAATTTTTGGCCTGGAGGGCGTCTTGCTCGGCGCGATACAAAGAGAGGGCTTTTGATTTTAGGGACAGGAAGAAGTACTTTTTTACGGTTGCATCGTCCCAATTGTTTTGCGTTTTCTCTGTTTCTAATGCGAAAAGGAAGTCGTCTACCTCTCCTGGGTCTGGGCTGTAACATGAAGGTATTTCGAACGCTGGCGCTCTGAAAGGAGCGGTATTAGCCATGGATTGATGGAAGGGTTGCTTCTGTCCTGTACTTTTAAAGGAAGAAGGGGGGGGGGCAAATAAAATGCATGAATAAAACCAAACTATGCATCTCCCTGGACAGCAATGGACGTGTGCTCTAGGACGGAATTAAAAACTATTAAGAGGGGAAAGGAATTTCAAAGGAAGCAAAAGAGAGAGGAAAAGGCAGGGCAGGGCAGCACATAGTAAATTCGCATTTAAATGAAGCAACCAACTTATCAAGAGGAAACGAGGGCAAGATAAAGTGGCGATGGAAAATCGGAATGAATGAAGGAAGAAAGGGGAGAAAAATGAAGACAAATCTTATTACTATGGAGAGAGGGGCAGGGCGTGAGAAGGAAAAAAAAAACAAAATTAATTGGCGGGGCTAAAAGGGGGGGGGGGGAATTTTTTTTTTTTTTAAATAAAACTCTAAAACTACAGAAATGGCAACTGGAGAGCAGAGGATCGCTTGGCTACGAAAGAAAAAGAGACGGGACGGTTCGGAACGTAGAAATTCCAAACGACCGGCTAGCCTCCACCAGATTTGTGGCGGCCAAAAAAAAAGAAAAGAAAGAAGAAAAAAAGATAATATCCCCCTCTGGAGGACAGAGAGATCTAGGGGAGAAAAAGGGGGTAGTGAAGAGAAAGATGATGAACGAACGCTGACTGGCCAGACCAGTCAAGATACGGCCAGACCGTACCTCTTGCGTTTGTTCGGAAAATAATGGAAACTACCTTAGGGCTGACTGGCCAGACCAGT